TATGGAGCTCATTACAGCTTTCCCCCAGATGGAGAAAGAAAGTTTTCTCATTTCACTCTCAGCTCTCATCTAACCATGGAAATTTTAGCTATCAGGTTGCACGTTGCACAGCAGAAGATATTTCCAGCCCTGAAAGAACCATCACTCAAATCATTGGATGAGTCAAGCAAATTAAAAAAAAAAAAAAAAGAACAATTTTGCAAAGCATGACTGTTTCCTTGCCTTCTGGGGAAGAAGGGGATGTGTGGCATGCTGGGTGTCTTTATAATGGGTAGATAAGGGAAATTATATTTCTGACAGAAGGTAAATGGACAAGTACACCACGACTTTCTGGTGTCCCTGTGGAGGCTCTCACAAGGCCAGTTGCTACCACAGCAACTGTGTCACTGATGAGCTGCTCTCACATATCCCTAGAAGCTCCAAATGACTGTTCCCTGCACCACCACGTGACTCTAGGATCTTGAATTTTAGGAAGGCTGAACCTCCAGATATCCCACATTCAAGGAAATGCAATGGCAGAATTATCAGCTGAGCTGTGTTACGAGTGTAGCTTCAATAAACCTGTCTAAGATAATGTCTCTCCAAACACAGTGGTGGCCAGTGGTGTCTTCCTTGGAGAGAACTGGCATTAACTCCTTAGAGATTATGCCAAAGGAATTTTCTCTTTCAGCTCTTCTTCATCACAACCATCCTTTCCACTGACCTTTTTCCTTCAGACCCTACAGATTTCCAGTATCCTCCCTCCTGGCTACAGAGGTCTCACCACCAACACAAACCTTGGCTCTGAATTCAAGAAGGATGATTCACATCCATAGCCTCTCTCCTTTACAAACAGGGTGGTGACCTCCAAATTGCTTGCAAGGAACAGTCTCATGTGAGGACTGCTGATTGGGGTGTGCCCAAACTGTGTTGATAGTCTGATGGTATGGATAAGGCTGGGCTTGTGCTCTGTTTGCTACTCTGGATCTGATCCTTGAGCCAGGACATTAATGGGGATGTGAATCAGGGTACTTGACCCCATCACTGAACTAGGTGATCTTAGTGGCCTTTTCCAACCATTATGATTCTATGCTTCTATGAGTCGTCTGATGTGTCCCAAGCTGATGGGACTGAGTTATCTCTCACAACCTTGGAGGTAAAAGGCATGTGAGAAAAAGGTTTAGGTAGCTTCTTGGCTGGTAGCCATGGCCCCAGTAGGCTCATGTTCATAGAATCATAGAATCATAGACTGATTTGGGTTGGAAGGGACCTCAAAAATCATATAGTTCCAATCTCCCTATTGCAAACAGGGTTACCATCCACTACATCAGGCTGCCCAGTGCCTCACTCAACATGGCCTACAATGCTTCCACAACTTTGGGCAACCTGTTCTCGAGCCTCACTGCTCCTGTTATTCAGCTCTTGTGACCAATGGCAAAACTTTTTGTGACAGTCAGCTGTCACGCTGAGATAAAAGTCTACCAAATTTATATTGTTTTCAGCCAGACAAGGTGAATTTGGGCTAGTCCTGTGCTTCCTAGCTGAAGGCTTGTTAGCCTCCACTATCTCCCATAAGGCTGCCTTGAGGATCTCTGTCCATTTTGGAGCCTACTTGTTCTGTTTGGAGCTAGGATGAGAGGTAATGGCCTTGAAGTCCACCAGGAGATGTTCATGTTGGATATCAGGAAAAATTTATTTCTCAGAAGAGTGATACTGCACTGGAACAGGCTGTCCAGAGAAGTGGTGGAGTCCCCATCCCTGGAGGCATTCAAGAACCAAGGAGATGTGGCACTTGACCACGTGGTTCAATGCTTATGATGGTGAAGGGTCAACAGTTGGACCTGACAGTCCAAGTGGTATTTTCCAACATTAATGATTCTTTGATTCTACCAGTCAGATGCCTCTACACTTAACTCCGTTGCCACTGCAATGAAATATGGAGCCTTCCCTGACCCATCAAGGAAGGAGGAGAGGATACAACCTGACCAGCCTGATTCTATCTGGGGCTGAGCTGGACTGCTTGCCCTGCATGCTCCAGCTGCATGATTCAGGCATATCATGAGCACAGCTCAGAACTTGTTCCTTGTCTTCTTGTCCCACGAACTTTTCTCTCCCACATTCTGCAGTTTGCAACCCTGAGCTGAAATGAAGAATTTCTGTGATTGGAGCCACCCTCCAGAAATTAAAAAAGGAGAAATTGGGGGGGGGACTGACAGTAAAACTTTCTCAGACCTTGACATTTGTAACATATATCCGCTCCATCGTGCATTGAGAACACTCTTTGTCTATTTGCAGTTACATAAAAGCTTTGCACAATGTGCTCCCAAGGTCTGGCACAAACACACGTGCTGACCACTGCCAAACACAAAGTGGGTTAAAGTTTCTTCCTCAAAACTCCGAGGCTCTGTTAATTTTTTACATCCTCCACGGTACCATCAGGTTGGCGACCACCTTGTCCACCTTCTGCTCTCCCCCCAAATCCCATCCCTTTGTTTTCTTTCTACCTTCCTTCCCCTCACTCCCCCCCAGCTTTTTCCTCTCCTTGCTTTTAAAAACTGAGCTCCAAGACATACTTGGCCCCTGTTGGTGTTATTGGTGGGAGCCCAGAGCCCTGGCAGTGGCCCTGGGCGTGACTGCAATAGCAACACCATGCAAGAAAAAAACAGTTTGAGACATGGCCAGAACCTGGTCTGGGTCTAAAAGCTTTTGCAGTTTTCTCCTTCAGGATACGGGGGTAGGGGCCAGGTGATGCTCTAGTTGCCTTCTGCATTCAGGCTTTACAGCATTGCAGCTGAGATTTGTTGTGCTATAGAAAATGCTCCTCAGACCTAAAGCGATGTGGTTGATACCTAAGCAGCATCTGCACAAAACATGTGCACTGTGCAGAGTGATTAAGTAATGCCACCATAGGGGACACAGTGAAGGACCAATCCTTCCCTCCCATCCCATTTTCTTATATTCCCTCTGACTGTCTTTAATTATTTCCCCACTAGAGCTTTGTCTGTTCACTTTGATTTATTTTTGCTTTGTAACAATATTTCTCAACTCTCTCTTTCTCTCTTTCCAGTTCTGGTTGAAATATTAATCTTGTTTATTATTATTACCCTTCCCTCTCTCTAATCTATTTAAATGCTTTCCTACATTTCTACTTCCTACAGCCCATTTCTCACTTGTAGGTTTTCTGTTCTGCTGCACTGTGTTTTAATAGTGTCATTTATTTACTGCTCATTTATTTGTTTTAATTTCAAAGCCTTTCTCCTTTCTTGTTGTGGTCTGTGTTCATGCATTGCTCCTTTCTTCCTGCTGAGGACAAGCATTTCTCTGCTTGGTTGACTCCAAGATGGCCTGGGTTAAGAGCAATAATTCAATTTATTTTCTTTCTTTCGATTTCTTTTCTGGATTTTCAGTATGGACGGAGAGGAAAATTTTTACTTTCTATTTCACTGCTGGCCAGCTGGAGGCTGGACACATCTGGACTAATATTTATCCTTCCTCCCCCCACTCTCCTCCAGCAGATCATATTTCCTTCCTGATAGCATTCATGCATGTATTTGTACAAAGTCTGGTGCAGAGTGTATGGCTTTTTTGCAGATTATTTCCTAAGTATCACTGCTGCATTAGCTGTCATGTGGGACTCACACAACCTTGCTAAAAGAAGAGATGATTAAAGATTCATGTTCAAGGTCAGGGCAAATCTAGAAAGAAGAATGGAGGACTCTGAAAATAGGATGCTTCCATCCTGCTACAGCAAAGCAGAGAGAGAAAGCACTGGGGTTTGAAGGAATGAGGAACTGTACAAAAGAAGGACTGGAAACAAGAAGCCATCTACATAGGATCCTGAATATACAGACTATGAACCAACATGTTGGGGAGCAATGTAGGGAAAAGAGAAAACAATCGGATGCTTTTCATTCTGTTTCCACACACTCCATAACTTCTAAATATTAGAATCATAGAATCATTAAGGTTGGAAAAGATCCCTAAGGCCATCTATTCCACTGTCCACTGTCTACCTACCAATATTTCCCAATAAACCATGTTCCTAAACCACAAAAGCAAATCTGTCTTGCTTCTGAACTCCCCTTGGTCTTTTCTCTCTCTGAAAGCTCCTGGTCTGATGAGATCTCCTCTTGACCAGCACGTATTTCATTTCTTTCTTATTTTCATTTCTGATCATTCCCAATTTAACTCCCACAGCTGTTCCCATTCTCTTTTGCCTCTGCTGCATCCTGAGCTATGTGGCAAGAGGTGACAGTGTGGTTGTGAGAGCAGGAGGAGGGAGCCTGGATGGATTGAGGAGGTCACCAAGGACTGGAAAAACCTGATAGAATCCACACATAACAACAAGCATTGTCGCTTGGAAACCCCAGATGTTTCTGGAGGGCAGAGAAGCAGAGCAAAAAAAGGCACTGGATCCCATTTCTGCTTGGGCCCTTGAGAACCTTAGCCACAATCTCCAAGTACAAATAGTTGTATTGTGGGAATGCTACAGTACAGTGTTTTTCTGCTTAAAGTACTTTTCTCGGTACAAGTATGTTAATTCTGAAGGACTATGGGCAAGACAGTGAAAATCCCATTATTTACCTATTCTCTCACTTTCATTATGACATATATGAAACTGTCCTATCATGGATGGAGGATGCCAGGTGATTCCTATCCTGAAAGCAATGAGCCACACCAGACTGGCATGGCTGCCTCAGGCTTTGCTCTAAGTTTTGTGGCTCAACTCTACAGAGTAAGAAGGGACTCCCATGTCTGAATCATAAATTGTTTCTCCAATTAGCCCTGCAGACGTTGGAATAACAGATTGGATCTGAGTGAGAGGTAGAAGAAATTGCTGCGCGTGATGGGTTATTTCCTACGCACAAACACACCCAGCGCTGATTCCACATTATGGGCTGTCACTCCCCAAAACTTCAAATTGATGCAATCAGATGAAGTCAAAGCAAACACAGTCCCAGTATAAAACCTTTCGATGGTGCATCATCCCACACTGTGCGGGCTCTGAGGGTACAACTATCATGAAGGCTTTGCTTGTTGCCCTGCTGGTGGCAGTCCTGTGTGCCGAGCAAGGTAAGGTGGTACAGAGGCTGGGGCAGCCAGGTGGAGAGGATGGAAATGCCAGAAGAGAAATTAGAGATAATACAAGAACAAGAGGATTTGACTGCTTTTGCTGCAATTTCTGAAGTCTTGGTAGTGCACTTTTTCTTTGGTATTCCTTACTTCAAACAATATTTAGTGAGGTTGAGTCTTAGACTCTGCTTGAGCTCTTCCGAGGTGCTCATATCCCACAGAAGATGAGCTCACCACTTCTGTTTCCCTCACTCTTGAGTACTGTGCTCTGAGCATCTGAAGATACATACGTGAACTGAAAAATGCTAAGAGTTGAGGACCATCAAGCCTGTCACAGTTTTTGGACAACGCTCTCAGACATAGGGTTTGATTTTTAGGTGGTTCTATGCGAAGCCAGAAGTTGGACTCAATGATCCTTGTGGGCCCCTTCCAACTCGAAACATTCTATGATTCTATGAATTAAGCTGGGCTCATGGTTTTGCCTTCAGTTTTCTTTTTGTTCCTGAATGAAACTGCTGGAGTTGCTGATAAAGATAACTGGGCTAATGTTGAGGCTTAATCTTCTGCCAGTGTTTCACTTTATTTCCCACAATGGCACTGCAATTAAGAAAGTGGGTTGCTGGCAGATATTTGAAAATCCAAGAGCTCTTTGTTCGCAGCTTTGATGAGCTTTCTTAAATGCCTCACAGTGAGCATGTTTGTAATGGGATCCACAATATGTTGTGCTTGGCCTCTTTCAAAAGGAGATTCAGATATGACTTGATGACTGTCTTGAGATAACCAAATAAAAAAAAAAAAAAACCACCACCACCAACAGTTGCTCTCCCTGCATGTTTGTAATCCCAAGGAGTACTGCAAGCCTTTTTACACTGCTAAGGCTATTTCTGGCTGCATTTGCAAAACTAGAGCTAATGGAGGGTGGAGGCCAAACATAGGCAAGGCTTCACAACAACTACAGTGTTTTAAGTGGTTTCCTGTCTTGCATTAGTGAAAGAGAGCATGAGTGCATTTCAGTTGCTTTTGCACATGTACTGGAATCTCAGCTCTGAAGAAACTGTTTTCAAATAGCTATGTGTGATTTATCGGAAGAACAGATCAAGGAAGACTACATGAAACTGAAAAATCTGGTAACATACTGGTCAGACAGCAAGTCTGGAATTGCTGTTGCATGGTATGCAAAGGATATCAATCCACAGCCTGAGTCAGGGGACCTCCAGAGAGAAAGGTGGGAGGCGTCATCCAAGTGATAGAGAAGCACTGAGTGTTGTTGTGTTGATTTAAAAGGAAGTTGAAAGAGCATCTGGATAGGTTTCAGAACAAGGTGATCAGTTGTTTGGTGAGGTTCCAAGCTCCAGATTTGTATGCAAGGCACCTGAACTCTGTACAGCAAAGAAAGTAGCTTTTTCTTCTCTGACCTGGGGGAGTTTGGGCATAAAATGGCTTTTTATTCTCTTTTATAGCTGCTTCTGGAGTTGTCTAACCAAATGTTACGGGCAGGTTCAAATTTAGGGATGTGTTTGAATCGACTGAGCAGCTGGGCTTCAGAGAATAGTGGAAGGAGATTAAAAAAACAGGTTCAGAATCAATTGAAAGGAGCTGCTCTGTGCAGAAATAAGAACTTGAGAAAGCCAAAAAGAACTGAAGTAAGGAAATTTTGATCTAAATGAAAACCCTCTCTGGGTTGACAGTTTATCACCTTTGATCAGGAACCCTCACTCATTGGGGTTTTGCTGTGCAGGTTCTTGTGGTCACCATTCCTGAAGGTGTTCAAGAAAAGGGGAGATGTGGGACTGAGTGGCATGGTTTAGTGGACATGGTGGGGATGGGTTGATGGTTGGACTTGATGATCCTAGTGGCCTTTTCCAACTTTGCTATGATTCTATAATTCTAACTATTGGTGGCAGTGGAACAGGCTGTCTTTGATATCTGTTTGACTGCCTCCTTCACCTCTGACCAGAAATGTAAGGAAACTGTCATGGGACATGACATGGGACTCTGAACAGGATGGGAACCATTTTTCCACTCCCAGCAATTGTGAACCAACCTCCAGGGAATGCAATGGCATGCGCCTGTGTTTCTTGCTTGGCCAGGTGTCAAGCTTGGAAATTTGAATCAATTTACAATAGTTTTGCTCAGAAATAGATATCCTCCACCTCCTTTGTAATAGCCCTTGGTGAGACCTGCTTATAATGTCACGGAGGACGTGCTGTTCGAGGCAATGGTGGGAATAATTGCTCCATTGTTCAGAGCAACCTCTCCCAGGGAACTCCCTTTAACGTGACTCTGCTTAGTAATTTAGTTCACAGAGGTATCATAGGCTGTAATTAATTCGTGCCTGCACAATGTTTTGCAGATGCACTCTGAAAATACTAAAAAAAACCCTAAGCTCTCAGCTGAGAATGGCGCCAATTTATCCTCTCCTTGCCCAAACTGTGCTATGCTAAACTGTACCAAGTTCTGCTTCTGCAGATTGGCTGCTAACCAGGCCAGCATAAAACACGGGAGAGATGGAGCATAGTCTGGAGGAAAAGTCACAGGAGAGTGCTGCTGAGGCTGAAAAATGTGTTTTCAGATTTAATCACTGAAAATCTAAAGTAAAGAGAGAAAACTTGTTTTCTTCTGTTTGCTTGCCTTTTCAGCTTCATTAATCAAAACCAGCCTCTTATTTCACTTGCCGTGAAGACTCATTTGTAACATGTACTTTTATTTTCCAAGAAGGGACGTGGCTTTTGACACTTTCTTCCCAGGAGGACATTGTTAAAGCCACTGATGTGTGTCATGTGTGCTCTTTCCAGCTTCCTCCTTGTTTTGCTACACATGCGAAAATGAGCACTCCAACTGGAACTGTCTTAAAACCTACAAGTGTGAAGACCATGAGAAATACTGTACGACCACATACAGTGCTGCTGGGTTTGGTGAGTACTAGTAACACCTCAAGAATTATGTTTTTTGTCTCCAAGGGCAGTGATGGGCAATAATTTCTTCAGGGCTGTAGTTGCTGTTGTTGGAAAGAGTTGATCACAGGAGCTTGAGGTTCACATCATATAATGTAGAACAGATATTTTCATGAGCAGACCTCGTTGCTTGATCTAGAAGCTCATACCCGTGCTTTGTGACATAGGACAGAAAGGAGTTAGTTGTAAGGAATGTAGATTTAGAAAATTAAATATGCGTTGGCAGTGATTTTTTGCTGTCCTGCATGAAGCACGGCATGGATTTCTATCAAGGACTTTCTAGTGTTGTGCACTTGAGCCAGGTTGTGTGAACTCTCACCCAGTACTCATCAAATCTGCTGATCTCTGTTATTCCTGCATTGCAAGTTAAATGCAGAGCATTATACTCCTCCCATTTTCCTCTGGTCAGGACTTGCAGGGGAATCTTACTTCACAACTCTCCTTTCTTGTCTGTTTTTCATCCAGGCAAAGACATGGGATATCGCATAACCAAGAAATGTTCTGCAGACTGTCCTGAGACCAACACAGACTTTGGCGTGGTGGCCATTTCCACCAAGTGCTGCAAGACCTCCCTGTGCAATTTCAGCGGTGCCAACAGTGTGAAATTGAGCTATGCTGTGATGTTCCTGGGAACGGTAGCCAGTTTGATCTGTGTCATTAGGGCAGGATTGTGATGAGGGTTGAGGGTGGGAGAAGATTTGACAACCCAAGGGCCTACACATGCTCTTGTCAAACAGATTAAACATCTTTTGTCAAGTGTCTCCATCAAGGTCTATGCTATTCTGCTTTTTTTTCCAACACTTCTTTTTCAGATCTGACCCATAAAATGGCATGGCAGTATAGCTCCTATTTTTTTTCCCCCCCTGATTGTTTTGTACTAATTTTCCCTGAGAAAGCTATTTTGATTGCACATATGTGACAATTGTCAGACAAAATAAAGATTTACATTATTCTAGAGCGTGTTTGATATATCCACACTAAGCTCAGCCTGAGAAAACAGCTCTGCCAGAAAGGGCTGCAGCTTGAATCTCTACATCACATCAAATTCCTTTTATTTTTTTTTAGTGTCTGGGAGTACTCTCTTGGCTGCCTTTCTCCATTGACTCAATTGCATCCAGCAGCTCAAGAAAGACACTCCATAAAGCCACATGTTCTGCCTGATCACTCAGAGCTGATGAATGAAGGTGTCAATGTGGAAAGGTCAAAGCCATTTGTGTTGTTCCCACTGCAAGCTGGCACTTGTAGCGGCAGAGAGAACTGCTTTGTGACTACAAGCACATGGGAGTGGGGGCTTGGCAAGTTGCACTCTTGGCAGTGCTAACAAGTCTTCATGTGATCGCTGCAATGTGGATGATTTCACCTCTTAAAATGGGTGAAAGTACTTTCTCAAGATGCTGGGGATGTTCAAGATAAGGACGGTGCTGTTAGAGTTCTCCTCATTGAGAGGTGGCCTCTGTGCCAGCTTGGAGAAGATGCTGGTTGGGTAGTTTAGGAAAAATTTCTCCTCTGAAAGCATGGTGAGATATTGGCACAAGCTGCCCAGGGAAATACTGGAGTCATCATCCCTGGGGGTTTTCCAGAAACATGGAGATGTGGCACTGAGGGACATGATTTAGTGGACATGATGGGAACGGATTGAAAATTGGACTTGATGATCCTAGAGATCTTTTCCAACCTCCATGATTCTATGATTCTAAATGATTACTCATGCCTACAGGGATGGGAATCAGGCAGAAAGAGCTTGGAGAGGTGGTGATGCCTGATCAGATGGGGTGATTCCTTTTGATGCTGTATTTTGAGGCTTGGAAATGGGAGAGATGGAGATCCCAGAAGAGCTCTTGGAGAGCAGAGCTCTAAGATAACGGAGATGGTCAAAGGACCTGCACTCCTGGAGCAAGAAGATGCATAATTCCTGGCATAACACCGTACAGAAGCTACATTTTAGGAGAGCTTAAGTAAAAGTAACACCTGGAAAAAACTCCTGCTTGCAGCCCAGTTGGGTTGGGGAGTTCTGCTCCATCAGTGCTCGAGGCAAACTGAAAAGGGCATGAACTTCTACACCACAGTGAGAAACCACAGTGCTGGCTGAAGGCTGTAAAAGGCTTAGTCACTCTGTAAAGATTTATTTTCTGGGCAACGAGGGTGTCCTGGCATTCCTTGAAATATGAGATGGGCCAGCTGAAGTGTTGTGTGTTTTTTTTTGTTGTTTTGTTTTTTGTTTTTGGAAAGAGAAACAGAAACTTGGCTTTTGCACTTCTCTTTAATCGCTTTCACCATCACTTTTCCTGTATACTAACCGCATTAATTTCTGAAATTATTCTTAAGGCTTTGGGCCAACTGGAAAATCTATAAACAACATTTGAATTAGGCACCATGATTAACTTTAAAATTCAGCTTTCGTTTCATGAAAAAATACATGTTTTCACCAAAATAAAGAAATTATTCATCCTTCTCCCGTGACGACTTCAACTAGATTTAGAACAAGATGAGCAAAACAAGACAAGCAAAACACACATCCCCCTCACTCTCATTTAAATCCCTTGCTTCTCTTTCCAAAATGTTCTGGAATTTCATAACATCTAAACACCTGTAAGCTGTAATATTCTCTTTTGCCTGGGTCCATCTGCTGACCTCTTTCTATCCGCTTGGATTCTTTTCAATCTATTTCACCTGGTATTGATAAGAGTTGAAGATAGCTTTAACATCAGAGACACACATGGGGCCAGTTGCAGGAGCATACAAAAACCCTGCAATAACTCCTTTAAAAAATACATTCTCTCCGTCTCCAGATCTCAGCAGCTTGCAGGAGACAAGACATATTTTGGTTTTTGCTTAGATGAAACTACAAGGGAGGGGAGAAAAAAAAAGTGCCTGGCAGATCTGCTATTTCTGTACCTGTTAATGGATGCTGCTGGCTGAAATAAACCTGAATGTGGGCTGCCTCTGCAGTGCAATGTACAGGCTGCAGAATGACACTGCCTGGTGGCTGGTGCACCCTTGCTGTTACCTCAAACAGTCTGCAATAAAGGTTGATTTGCCAATAAGGACATATGAAATCTCTCCTGGATTGGAGATAATAAACTATTTCAAGGAAACGAGGGCTGCAGTCCCTGGTATGGAGGGTGCAAGCTTCTATTTTCCTCCTGCCTGGTACATTACGAAGGCATTGGCTTTCCATGGCCAAACAACACCCCTCCTTTGAGCTTTCTTGGTTAATTGCTGCCTCTGTTCCAGCTGAGTTTCATGCCCTACCGATTGAGAAAGCAGAAGTTTCCTCACCTTAGTCACATAAGTCTCCACATTTCTATGTTCAATTTACAAGACACTGGAAAGACTTACAACACCTGAAGAACTGGGCATGCCTTTCCAATGAGATAATGATTGGAGGAGAGTCCTATTGGAAGCTCAACTGTCTAGTGGGAGGTGGAAATCTAAGCAATGTTGAGACCAAGAAGAAAAGAAAATACAACAGATGGAGAGCAGCAAGGGGTGGAGTCCCTGACAGAAGCCTGGGGCACACAGGTTGCTCTGAGTGTCACGTGCAAGGGACCCAGCTGGATCATTTTTGGGACTGTGCCTCCATCCCAATGGTTAGATGGCAGAAAGACAACAGTGGGAGGAAAAGGCAACAGAGATGAGAAGAAAATGAAGAATGATCTGATTTTGTACAGGGAGAGAGGTTGAAACATGGTAAAGATGGAGAAATAAAGAGCACTGTATAGAAACCCAAAGGAGTATTTCTGTCAGGCGTTTAGAATAATACTGGCTGGCTATCATTCTTTTTTTCTGAAGACTTAATGAGTTGAGAACATTGATCAGACAGCCCTCACTCTCCATGCTTTCAATGTTTTGTCTGTTGTTTTTTTTCTCCCTGACATCTGTTTTTTTTGCCATTCGTGAGAAAATTCACAGCTTGCTCAATGTGATGGGGGTGGATGTTATTTTTATTTTCTAATTTAGGTGGTCATTTTCATTGCCTGGTGGAATTTATTTTCCAATAAGAGAATATCTTCCCTCATATAAAATATCCACTTTTTTGAACAGAAACATTTAGGATTTTGAACTGCAGCGTTGAAAAGACTCGAAGAAAATTATATCTGATCCCCTATGAAATGCAGTGGAAGGAGATTGCTCTTGTGATCTAGCTATACTGAGAATCCTGGGAGACATTTTGAAGACGTTTCAATCCCAATTTCAATTTCAAATTCGACCCATTTCCATATGCACTAAAACAGTGTGTGAAGTTGGGATCCTGGAGGATGCAGCCTTTGCTGAGAGCCTGGAAAGGCGAGCGCTCTCTTCTCACGTGGACTCTGTTTTGTTTTCCTGCGTTGCTTTTCCTCCACTTATCCAGAATTAGAAACTGTTGCATACTTAGTACCAGATGAGTAAGCCACATTGTGAAATAACTCAGAAAAGTACTGGGGGGGGGGGAGATATATGCTTGTTTAGATTTCCAACAAAGCATATTTCCCCATACAAGCGCTGACACGTTACTCTCAATCACTCATCATCTGACACGCTGCAACACCATAGTTATTATCCTAGCACCAAAGCAAACACTGCAGAGGTATAAAAACTGCCCCGCGTGCTCTCTGCTTATTTTGGAGGCTGCGAGAACTATAAAGGATGAAGGCTTCTCTTCTTGTCGTGCTTGTCATTGCCCTGTGCACGGAGAGCGGTGAGTCGCCAAGGGTTGTTTTGTGTGAGCAAAAGGCCAGAGCTGGGGCAAGTCTTTGACATTGCAGGTTGAGGAAAGGATTTTGCAGCACAAATGGTAATGCTGAAGCTCGTTATGCTCTATTCCATTCTTCAGGATAAAAACAGCCAATCCTTTCTGTGGGCTGCTGCTTTCCTACCAGGAGAAGTCACAGAACCATAGAACCATTTGAGTTGGAAGGGATCTTTAAAGGTCATCTAGTCCAACTCCCCTGCAATGAACAGGGAGATATACAGCTTAGAGCCTGGTCCAGGCTGAAATGATGCTGAGGAGCTGAAGTGGGGGTTGAGATACTCTCTCACCTGACATCTTCCAACCTAATCCAGCATTTGGAGTGGCTCTATGTAGGGATCTGAGAGCTGTGAGTCTTAGTGGAGTTCCATGAGAAGGGGACTTAATTGAGGATTATACAGAACTGGAAGTGGTAATATAGAATCATTGGCAATATGGAATCATTGAATCATAGAATCGTTCGAGTTGAAAGGGACTCTTAAAAGTCATCTAGTCCAATTCCCCTGCAATGAACAGGGACACCTACAGCTCTATCAGAATGCTCAGAGCCCTCTCGAGCCTGATCTTAAATATCTCCAACAAGGCTGCAAATTTGACCTATAAGAAAATATAGCCTGACTTTTTTTTTTTTCTTGCTTATTTATTGGTTGCAATTGCAAACCTCGATCACCTAACTTGATAGAGATGTTTGTGCTGCAAGAAGATGCAGCTCTGTCTCCCATCTCTTTCCTGCAGCTCCTTTGTCAAGGCTGATACCAGGTTTGGGATGGAGCCACAGGGTCCCGTCCTCATTCTGATAACTTTTTCTTTTTAATCTGAATATCCCTCTGACTACTTCAGGGGAAATATCTGATTTCCTCAGCTCAGATGGCTTTTGCCCTATTCTAAACCCAGAATAAATCTAATCTTTCTCTGGCTCAGTTGTAGAGCTAGAGAATACCTGCAAATTGCCATCAATTTTAGTCCCCACCTAGCAAAGCACTAAGACTCATAGTTAATTTGAAGCTGTAAATGTTTATACTATGGGACTTCACAGGCTTTAAACTTGGCATATACTCAATGGGGTTGAGAAACTCAAGGGCAATAAAGCCAATCCCTTCCTGCAGCTTATCAACTATAATCACATTTTTTAAAAAGATCACATAATGAGACAGCAAACTCACTAAAGGAGTCGATGAAAATTAAAACACAGGCAACACCACTTTGCTGTGCAATCTAGCCAGAAGGCTGGTAGCTGTTACAATTAATCCTGAACCTGAATGATTTTAATGATGCAAATTCTGCATCTGCCAGAACCTGTACTTTCTAATGCCTTACAAACATTAACTGTTTATCCGTGTGGCTCAAATTATTCACATGAAAATCTTCATTGTAAAATACTCCATTTCATTTAGAGCAGAGATCGTTCTTGCTAGATGCAGGAAGGATACCTTCAAGGCAGCCACATGTCTCCAGAGTCATCTTTAGTAGAACCATAGAATCATAGAATATCCTGAGTTGGAAGGGACCCATAGGGATCATCAAGCCCAACTCCTCATTCCACACAGGGCCACCCAAAAATCAGTAAATGCCTAGTGGGAAGGAAACCTTACAAAAGGGCAGTTGGCAAAATTGCTTGCTTTCTCCTTCCCATGGCAAAAGGACTCTAAAATTACTAGCATTGGCAATTTGGGATTAAACAGGACTTGGGCATCCAACAAGCTCCACAGTTTCCTGCATAGATCCAGAAAGTTTTTCTTAATTGTGATTAAAGCACAAAATGTATAACATGTCTAGAAAACCCAGACTGAGGACTTTGCTCTAGTGTATGGCTATCAAGGTGAAAAGGGTGGTTCCCTGTGGGGTGGAGCAGAGATGTGCCTGGTTGCAGGTTGCACAAGAGAAGTGAGCAAGGCAACACAAATGTTGAGCTTGGGAAAGGAGACAGACCTTTGTGTCCTCTGCTAGGTGCTCATCATCGAGAGATAAAAGAAGGAGGGTAGAATATGGGAGGACTAGAGGCCACAAGAGAAAAGTGAAGGTCAGTGCTGAGTGGCTATGGGAAGGGAAAACGGGTTGTTGGCTGCAGTGTGGTGAGGAAGCAGCTTCCACAGAGACAGAGACAGATGGACACTTCTTCCCTAAAATTCATTTTTGTGGTTTCCTATGAGATACAGTGCATGCTCTGGTCACTTGGGTTAATGGTAGGGAGTGGAGATTCTGTTTGGGTCAGACAAACTTATTTGACCCCTGTTTGGGTCAAACAAGGGCAGAAATGCAGTGAGGACATTGCAGGCAAAAGTACCAAGAAGGGCAAAGGAGCTTGGGCAAGAGAGAAGAAGGATGGAGGAAAAGAAGAGCAGGGAAACAAAGCTAAGGGAGATTGCTGGCACAAGAATAAGATGGATATTAACTGGTCACAGACAGGGATAGCCTGAGAATGAGAAGAATGAGACTAATCCCCTTTGGGTGGCATTACTGCAGGAGTGTTTGCTCCAGATAAACAGATGAGCAGGAAATTCCTGTTATCATGCAAAGAAACCTTCCCTAAGGATCTCTTTGCCATGAATGACTGCTTTAGCTTACTTGAGCACAAGCTGTTTTCATTCATTCCTATTAGCACAGCACTTTGCAGATGCACAGTGTTACAGATGTACCAAATTTGTAGTATTAGTGAGTCTTTACCCTTGGATGGCTATAAAAAGGAATGTGCTGCAGCTGAGGAGCTGGTTTGCTGAGCCATGTCATCCACAGAGCCAGGATTGCTTCCCAGTGCAGGAAAGTTCCAAGAATGAATTTATCAGATGCAAGCATCCCTCTTCCCACCAAACACTGAGATGGAGAGCTACATGGCTTGTCTCTTATTTGAGATATGTTGTGGGAGCATGCAGGAAAAAAATTATACTCAGTATGACCAGGTGACTTACTTTCAAATCTCTCTTCCTTTTAGTATTCAAGATTTTTAAAAGAATTCAATGTTGGTTCACCTGTCTGTTCTGAGAAAGGATGTATAGGCCAGGACTTTTCAGATAACTTGAATGGGATATGAAAGAGAGTGGACAGGAATCAGCTGTTTTTTTTTTTTTCATAAAACAACTATTGGCCAGCAAATAGAGATAAGGAGAGGTGTTAGAAACTTGGTTAGAAAGAGACCACAAAAGCCACATGCTTCTAGTAGTAGTAAACTAGGGAACTCTTTCCAACAAACATTTGTGATGCAAGAAGTTTAAATAGATTCAAGTGAGACTCAAGTATCCAGAAGGGATGTCCCTAGAAGATAACTAAATAAGCAAACCACAAGAATTTGAACTTAAAACAATTTTGGTCCCAAAGAGCAATTTTGGTCCTGTGGTTGTTGACAGATCTTCAGTCTGGACTAGCACCACCAGTTTTGTGTTCCTACGAATATTTCTAAAGATGAGTGATGGATGTTGTGTGCTTCTTTTGCAGCTTTCTCCTTGACATGTTTCTCATGCAAAGATGCAACTTCCAACATACACTGTCTCAGTACAACCACGTGTGCTGACCATGAGAAGTACTGTCTAACAACATATTCTACTAAGGGATTCGGTGAGTGTAAAGCTTTTTCTAGGGCTCTCTTGGCAAAAGAGGTTCAAGATTAGGCTGACTAGAGGTCAAGAGATCTGTAGTCACATCAAGAGATGTGACAGAAGAATTAGAAGGATCATGCCACAAAGAAATCAAATATTACTTCGGGTGTGAACTCAGCTAATTCATCTCTGTCACAATATATCGTAACAATGCTTGTAAAACACACCCAGGAGAGGGAAACAATGGAAAAGAGATTTCCCTGCGCAACAACCTTGTCTAATCTATAAATATATTGACAGAGTGTTGGAACTAGAAAAGACCAGGTGCTGTGGAAAAGACAAAGCCAAGGCAAGATGATGATGACATCTTCATAGAATCGTGGAACCACAGAGAATCATAGAATGGCTTGGGTCGGAAGGGACCTCAAAGATCATCTAGTTCCAACACCCTGCCATAGACACGTTTGCCAACTGCTAAATCAGGCACTAGACCTGGGCCCTATCCAACCTGGCTTTGAACATCTCCAGAGATGTGGCAATCTTGCACTAAACAAATGCATTAGATCTCTTAATTCATGCTTCAAGTTCCATTCTGCTGGGCCTGAACATGGCACAGGAGCCTTAAAGTCAAGGGATGGTCTCCATAGGTCCCCTATAAACAAGTAATGATGCAGTGTGCCAAAGCCCAAAGAAAAACCATCAGCATTCAGTATAGAACAGTACATTCCCCACTGCATATTGTGCAGACAGTTTATCATTTATTAAAAAATACAAAATAAAAAAATCTGACTTTTCCACTTATTCTCTCTCTTCAGGAGATGACCGTCAGCAAAGTATTACCAAGAGATGTGCTGCATTTTGCCCAACAATTGACCTGAATATAGGGATTGCAGGTGTTGCCACTAACTGCTGCCAGACCTCCTTGTGCAACATCAGTGGGGCCAGCAGCGTGAAAACCAGTTACACCATGATAGCTGTGGGTGTCTTGGCCAGTCTTGCCTGCATCCTCCGCCTGGGGTTCTAAATGGGATGGGGGGAAAGGAGCTACGTGGCCTTGCATGCAAGAGTTCAGTATCTCATTTGTACAGAAGTTTCTGCCAGGGTGAATGCCATCCTGTCTTTTCAACCTGGTGTGTCACATCCCATCAGTAAATATTTTTACTCTTTCCATGCTCTGATGGCCATGCACAAGAGCATGACCCTACCTCAGAATGGTGTTTGGAACACCGTGTATGCTCTGTACCACTCATAGAGTACCATACAGGCACCATCTCTCCTACTACACAACTTTGTAACTCCATGCATTTTTTCCCTTTATTTTGGCCCTACCATTCTCCTGTGCCATTTTTCCCTTTATACCATTTTCTCCCGTTTGATATTAGATTTGTTAAACAGTATCCGGGGACAATAAAGTATTATTTTAGTCTGTTGTGTGAGTGCGTGGTATGGCACATAGGGTGCAGCAGCTGGGTGCATCCACGTTACCAGCAACAAAAGTGGAAACGTTAGTCTGCAAGTTGAATGGAAATAACACTGAAATATATTGCATTCACTTTGCATTCACTTTGGGAAGCCTCTTCTAAGGTTTTCCTTCAATGTGTTGCTTCCTTTTCCTTTCTCTTCTCTTCTCTTCTCTTCTCTTCTCTTCTCTTCTCTTCTCTTCTCTTCTCTTCTCTTCTCTTCTCTTTTTTTTTGCATTGGTAGAAGTGTCATTTTGTAAGTCTATTTCAGAGTAAACTCAATTCTATTTAACTTGCTTTCAATTTCTCTTCTGGGTCAGCTGGTGGAAAGTAAATGGCTGCTGAGCTCTTCAGCAGGCAAACAGAGGGGACAAGGTAGGACTGAAAATGAAGGGATCTTGAGCATTAAATTTTTCTTAAAATGATTTAAGAAATCACTTCTTCCAGTGGAAGTTGCTTTATAAGCATTACGGATTATCTTGAAAAGAAAGAAAAGTAACTAGAGTGGTGCTTAAAGGAAACTCATCAGAAAAAAACAGGTGGTTTTTACCCTGTGTGTGCTGGAGTATTTAACAAATACTTAACTCTGAGGACAAATCTCTAGTCAAGTTTTCTACCTGTGTTAAAATTGAAGGAACTTTTTCCCCTTTGCTGACCTTCCTTGTGGATAATAGCTGTGAATGAGAGATTTGCTCACTGAAACTCTTTCAGAGTGAGTCACTCAATGCTGAAATGCTTTCTCCTGAGCTGGAGAAGCTTTCCATTAGGATTACTCCATCAAAGATCTCCCAGGGTAATTAGTTGGGTGCAGCTCACCCAGCTGGTTCTGTCTCCATAGACTCACCACACAGGGAGAGCAGCTGTACATGTTGCTCACTCAATTGGGACTTGCTGAGAGCAGAGGAATGGCAATACTGAGAAATATCTGGATCTTTGCAAAGGAAATGTGGTCTTACAGCCCCAGCTTACTCAACCTGCTCCTGTCCCTTTTTGTCCACCCTTCCTTCCTTCCATATCTGACTATTAACTCTCCAGCTATTTCCTTCTTCATCCAGTGCCAGCCTGGACTTTGCTTCCAATATTTATTTTCTTGCCAGAGATTCATCTCACTTTTTTTCTCCTTGGTGCAAATGCAAGGTTGGTCAAGGATAATTCATCTTTAGCTATAGAAGTTTTTGTTGTCCCTATGTTTTCTACTGCACTGCCATTCTTCAGCTGAGCTGGCTCCTGCCTTCTATCCAATCTACTGCCTTCACATTTCTTTCCCTCCTGCCAAATTTAAAGATACACATTTGAACATCGTGAACAAGCCAAGAAGTTCCGTGACCATGCTCTGCCCTCAAATGGCCATACTCTGCCCCCAAACCAGATCATATGGTTATGAAAATCAGACTGTTTGAAGTAGTCTCCAGTCTTTGCTATCCCCAACCTTAGGATTTCTTAGGGTTGAGGTTAGTTGGCACAAGCCAAGATCAGGCTGGGGCAGTAATAGTGACTGCACTGATTGCAGGACACATCTTGTCCAGGTGAACTTGGGAATATAAACCTGTTCTTGGCATCAAGGTTTAAAAGAAGGTAGTGTTCTGTGCTACCTGAGCTTGGAAGATGCCTCTGTTTTGGGTTCAGAGGAAGGCTGGGACCTGAAAGAAAAATGTGTGGGCAAAAGATCTGAAGACGTTCATAGAGCCTGCTTTTACCATGCAGGACTTCATGCATGGTAACCCATTTTAATGGGTTAATGCTTGGACTAGATGATCTTAGTGGTCTTTTCAATCTTAATGATTCTACAATTCTATGATCTATGTTCTGCTTATGGCTGATGCATGGAGGAGTTATAGACAGCACTGGAAAGCCAGAATCCTGTCCCAAATGGAGCAGCTCCATCTGTGGGCTCCATCCTGTCTTCATCTCACCTTGTTTCTCCCTGTTCTTTACTGTGAGATTGGTAAGGTGCTGGAACAGGCTGCCCAGAGAGGTTGTGGACGCCCTGTCCCTGGAGGTGTTCAAGGCCAGATTGGATGGAGCCCTGGGCAGCCTGGTCTAGTATTAAATGTAGAGGTTGGTGGCCCTGCCTGTGACAGTTGGAGATTCATGATCCTTGAGGTCCCTTCCAACTCAGGCCATTCTGTGATTCTGTGTGATTCTGTGACCCCAAAGGTTTTACATTCCGTGTTGCCCAGCAACACAACTTATCAAGACTGACCCACATCTCATGTTACATAAAATGGTCCTTATCTGGAGATGGGAGCAGCAATTGCCCTAAGGCACAGGAGGTCCTTCCATAGTAAAGCCTCCTTGGCAATAGTTCTTGTATAACAGGAGACTCCTCTCTGCTAGCCTGCCTGAGAAATCGTGATGTAACACCTTCCATGCCTAATTTCAGATCTCCCAGGGTTTCTTATTTGTTGGCTACAGTGACTACACATTCTTCCCATGGGAGCACCAATCTGCCTTGCAGACATCTGAGATGCCTTGAGGGTTCTTGGGAAGAAGAATGGTGCCTCACTCAAATAGCTGGGATTGCTCCTGATGGAATTGGCTCTCTCTACATGGATTACATAAAAGCTTGGTTTACTGTGCTCTCAGTTACAACGCCAGGATCTGAATCAGACAAGGAGGCCTTGCCCTGACTAAATTAGGCATGTGTAGGAGGTGATTTGACCTTGGCCCTTGTTTTCCCCCAACTCAAGGCTTTATCGCCATTGATACGGAAATTTCTATGCTTTCTCCTCTCCTTGAATGTGTTGTCCCTATTTTTCCCTCACAATGTCAATTTTCTTCCCTTATTTGTGCAGATCAGATCAACAAGCGCACCAGGGACAAAGGGAGAGACAAAGTCGGTGTGTAAGATCAGAGTAAGGTCTTCAAAGGGTCTAAAATGCTTCTGAAAGCCATGAGAGGTGACAAAACAAACCCTTTTTCAAAATTAGCTTTGGCTCTATTGACATATAGACAACTCATAGCTCCATTCTGAGGTCCATTTTAGATTTCCCAAATGGGTATCGATGAGATCATTCTACAGAGGTGACTCAGCCCCCACAGTTACTTTGATCTTCCTCAATCTTTCTTCCCACTTGGTGTCCCTGATTGGCCAGCTTCAGGCCTTCCTCCAGGCTAAGGTCAGCAGGAGATGCTTGTTTCCCCATTCTGTGTGCTTAACTGTTGTCTCTGACTGCTTTGAGTTTTGTAGTCTGCCCTCTTGGGAAATAAGGAATCATTGTGACTTAGTCACTGGGCTGCAAATTAGTTCTCTCTAGATGCTGGGAAGAGAGCATGCTCCAGCATTGTAATAAGCTCAGGGAATAGCAAAGACTTTAATGTCTTGAGAACAGCTCCCAAATAACTGTTTGACATACAGCAGTTTCCTACTCAATTTTCTCTTCTTAAACTCAGCACACACTTGTTGGCAGTTCTTAGCTGCACTTGATGACTAATAAGCTAGATCTGATGAAAGGAGTGAGCCAAAATCCTATTTCATTAAAGTTCATGTAGAAACAAACGGCAAGATTTGCATGATGGGGTTGAAGTACTAAGGCCTGAACAAGTAGGCCTCGAATCAAAGTTGACCTCTAAGTGAATCTCACAACCCAGCGTTACATATCATCAGTATCTGATCAGTAGCAAAATATGTATGATAATTAGAGAAATGTGTATCTTGGACAAAACATCTCATTAGCAAAAGATGTAGCTTAGATAAAGTGCTATGAGAACGTATTAATCTTGCCTTGTTTAGAAGCATAGTGTCAAGGCCAACTAGTACAAAACCTTCCTTTGTTTCTCCTTGAGCCCTGGCCAGGCTTGAGGTGCAATCCAAAGGAAAAATGAAACCAGATGTTTCCACCTGTCATGTAATCTTGTTTGTTCAATAATACAAAAGATGGACCCTCTTGTAGCAAAGTTGGAGACCTTGGCTACGAGTGGAAACTCTGAGTATCGCTATCGTCATGTAGTAATGGTTAGGTGCACTGCCTTGATCTGCATTATTCTGGTTGTATCCTTTTACTTGTTATCTCATTGCTTTAAATTTAAGTAGAAGTAAACACTTCTTTAATGTGGAGTCTGTGACATTTGTGCTGACCCTATCCACTGGCAAAACAGGGGTCTGTGGCAATAAATAGAGCAATCTTTCACACATGGAGAAAAGGTGAAGAAATACACAGAACAAAAGTCTATGGGATAATTAATAGGAGAAAAACAAAGGGGAAATGGTCCTTCCCTTCCTTTTACCCTCATTGCAAAATAACAGCAGAAAGAGACACCCACTAATTATGAACAACAACCTGTTTATAAGACACAATAAACTTGATTGCCTTCTGCAAAGCAAAAGGTTTAATCTGATCTTCACCAGCATGTCCCTTGTGAACCTGACAAATCTCCAACACCATGATAAGAGATGAGTATTTTGACATTGGTCTCGATTAACTCTGGGATTCACCACCTGATTATGCCATTGCTGGAGCAGTTTTGGAAAAGCCTGCAAAGTGTCAGGATGTCATGAGGATAAGGAAATCATCCAGTGTTAAATGATTCAGACACGAAGGAAATGACACCTTGTGTTGCAAAGACCAATAAAACACCCTGCTGATGGCTACTACAAAAACCACCAGCTGTGGTATTCCATAATTGTCAGAAAAAGGGGGTTTTGACAACTTGTTCTTTTGTGTGTTCTGCTCCCTGCTGTGCAGGACAAGTCTCACCTCAGAGAAGCACGAGCTCTTACAAGACACATCCTATTTCCCAGAATGTCAGAAGATGATCTTAAGAAATTCAGAGGAGAGATACACAGAGGAATAGAGAGAAAATGATTTATTTAAGAGGAGAGATTGAAAAAGAGACATTGTGAGAGATGGCTTTTTTTTTTGAAATAGACTGGGAATTCCAGAGTGACAATCTGTGGCATTGTAAATAGGAAGTGCTGGATGTGGAGAAAAGCAGACTCTCTAAAAGATGCCTAAAATAGAAGCAAAACGTCATTAAATAAAACATTTATGGAATTTCAGAAGGTATTCAAGAAATACAACAAAATGAGGAGAGCGCACAGGGATTAACTGCAGCTAATGGAAAAAAAAATGATAAAGAAATGAAGGCTGACACAAAAATTTGGGAAAAATATTTTGTGTGAATAACCATTATCCAACTTCATTTAGTGTAAAATTGACTTTATTGGCTGTATCAGCGTAGGTGTGAGTCTGGCCTTCTGGTTCTGTGTAACAATTAAGACAACAGTATGAGCCCTGGAAAAGGGATTACAAAAATGCACTACCAAGTCTGTTTTCCTTTGCCTGCAGGCTCCGCTATTTCATCAGTGCAGCTGCTGCTTCTGTGGAGAGACAGGAGGAAGTAAAGGCAATCAGAGAGAGAAGAGCCAGCTCCCATTTCCCATTACTCATAAGACTAGAGGAGCAATAAACGAGGTGCTAAAGGAACTTTTCCCCACGGTACTATTGTGCACCATGGGCTCCAGCATGGAGAACTCCCACACGCACCTTACACACCCTTGGGTTGACTTCATGCCTGGAACCTGTAAAACTGCTGCTGTTCAAAAGGTATATAACCTGTCCTCCAAACACCTTCCCAATTGAGCTGAGAGGATCTGGTGGAGATGAAGACTGCTCCTGTTATCTTGCTGGTTGCTGTCCTGTGCGTGGAGCAAGGTGAGCCTCTAATGCTGTTACCAACGAGGAGATGGAATTTAGGGAGATATCAACAGCTTTGCAGTATTGCAGCGCCTCAGCCATACTACTGCCAACTTCCAAATATACCCTGATTAATACTGAGCTCTCTATTTGCTGCAGATATAAGATGCTGACAAAGTAATTCTTTCCAGCAGGCAGTACCGAGTGATATAGTCCTATGTTGCACTGGATGCTGGGTTATATTCATACAGTTGTCTACAGGATCCTTCTCAGCTATGCAAGTTGAAAGTGCCAGAAGACATAAGAAAACATATTTTTTATTCATATGGGTTTTAAATATTTTACATTCTTTTCCATGCTGCTGCTTCCTTCATTCTAGGGAGCCATGTGCTGTGTCACATGTTTTGTTCGCTAGGAAATGCAGCAGTGAGAATTTTCATACATGAAATCAGAGTCAGAGGTGAAAGAACTTTTCTTGCATCCACAATGTTAAAGGCATACTTCTTCCAAGAGGAAGCCTGAAGTATTCTAAATGCGTGTCTTCCTTCTGAGACCAATCCACGTGTATTGCTGCTTTGCTACTGGCACGTAGGAATAATGATCAGATTGCCAATATCTCCCCACGCCTGATGGTTTCCCAGAAACCATGATACATATCTAGCAGGGGTTGAGAAAGAGGCGTTTAATTAATTCTTGCTCTCTGATGTATCAAACCTTTACTCCCACGTTATTCTGGCAGATGGTTCTTCAGTGTGCCTGAAAGTTTTGGATGGTTTTGGGGTGAGGAAAGGGATATGTAACTGTACAAAAAAAAATGACTTCGTGCCCAGACCTGAGTGATGTGTGATCCAAGACTCTAGCAGAATACATTTCATTGGCATACTTTATTGATCTAGTGGTGATGTTCTATGTTGATATTAGCTTGCAAACGGACGTTAAGACAGCTTTTTATACAGCATCTTTCTGTAGACCAGTCTAGATCAGAGAAAGCTAGTAATTCTAACTCAAGACTTCTACACTCAAGATTAAAAGATCACAACTTTCCATACTAATACAAAGGCAGTCTTGGAGATGACTATTATTTTATTCTCCTCACGTGTCTGGAGTTCCATTCCATTCCTGTGTCAAATTCTGATCAATCTGGTCTCACAGCCCAACAAACATGGTCTGTTTCATTTGTTTCTGTGATCTCAGCAGTATACAACATATGACCAGAAGAAATCTTAAAAGGTCAAGATCCTTTTTCCCTCTCTGATGCTGGGCCAAATCAGGAAGATGTTTGTCAGATGCAGCTTTGAAAGTTTCCAAAAAAGAAGATAAAACAGCCTAGAACTGCTCAGACACTTCTTCCTTCAATGAGCTAATCTAAATATCTAGTGACCATCTCTTTTTGTGTAGCTCTCCTGTGTTTTCACCATAAGGAGTTTATTACCTTCCATGCAGCTTCTTTCTTCTTCTTTGAAGAGGGTTACTGTGTCTTTCCTCAATGTTATCTTGCTTTGATTGAGAAAGTTAAATGCTTCAAATATTTTTTACAAGGCTGTATTTTCAAGATCTCTCCTCCCTCTCCTCTGGTCTCTCCAAGTGCTTTGCATATTTTCAGAAGTGCCACATACAGATTTGGACATCAGTGTTTCAGCTGAGGTCTTGACAGAGTGGAAAGGCCACCTTGCATACCTTCCACATGACATTGCTGCCTGTGTTCCTTTGAGTGATGTTTGTTTTCTTTGCTGTAGTGTGACACTGTTGGTTCCCACTGTTT